GTGGTGGCACATGTCTGTACTCCCAGCTACTTGGGAGGCTGAGACAGGAGAATCGCTTGAACCCGGGAGGCAGAGGTTGCAGTGAGCTGAGATCACACCATTGCACTCCAGCCTGGGCAACAAGAGCAAAATGCCATCTCCAAAAAAAAAGAAAGTAAGCTCTAAAAATACTGAATACTACTTGAATTTCCATAAATAAAGAAATAGTTAAATAAGTATGGCCATGCATGAAAACAGAAGTTTATGAAGACATTAAAAAGAAGGTAACTTCATATATACTAATATAGATAGATGCTAAAGATACAATTTCAAGTAAAAAGAGCAAGTTGCAGAGCATATTAGAATAATTTTGTTTGTATACATATTATGTATGTTATGATTCCATTTGTGTATGTGTATGGAAAATATCTGGAGGAATACACAAGAAATTTGGACAAAGTGGCTGGATGAGTATTATAGAGACCTTTTTCTTTAAAGTAAGTTATCTTTGAACATCTCCCCCACCATAAATTTGTATAAATGTTTTGGATATATTAAATAAAATATAAAGTTAATTAAAAGATGAATCTTTTTTGTAACATATAATGTTTTATTTATAATCTACTCCAAAGAAAAAAGTGACTTTGTATTTATTGCTATTCAAATGAGATCCTTTCCTGTAGCTGAAAACTTTGATCTCCCTTTCCTTCTTTGTTTATCTAAAGGTTAAAAGACATTTTTGGACTTTCCATCCTGACTTGACTCATCATTGGTTGATCATCTTGCTTTTGATTCTCCTCTTCAAGTTTTCAATTTCTTATTTATGTGTAATGCCCTGACATTATAAGAACAAAATCCAGATATATGTAAATTATATTGAGAATATTGCCTTCATTTCTATATGAATTTGCTTAATTTATGTCCTTTTAAGTCACACTTAATGATTTTAATACAAACTGGTTCATGGATTATTAATTCAAATTATGCTGTTACAGTCAACCACGAGAGATGAGTAATGGAAAGATACCATGTTCTTACATAATGATCTTGGTCTCTGAATGACTGAAGGACTCTCCCTGTCATATATTTGTACAGATGAATTTATCTGGGAGTGAACAAAGTAATTCTAATTTTACCAAACATTAAATTTTCTACTTGATATTTCAACTTAATGATATCCAGTTTTTTTAAGCAGAGCAAATTTTCTAACTATTATCTGACATTCATGAGGCATGTTGGATAACATTAGAAAATAAACATTTTTCCTAACTCCTGTTAGAGCAGGATTTGGAATGAAGTAGGGAAGTGCATATAATAAACATAGAAATCACTACAATAAAAGATACATGAAATGTCCAAATATTCTCTTCTACTGACCACAGGAAGTTCGTATACAAACTAGTCAAGCGTCTGGTTGCCTGTCCCAAATTTTTGTCAGCAAATAGGCGCTCCACCTTCTTGCCCAACTCATTCATTCATTCCTGCAACAGTGGGTGTGGTGGCCTCTGCTGTGACTGGCTGAGGACAACCTCCTGGGGACCAGGGAAGCTGCTGGGGATGTACTTTAATGAGAATACTTACCAGCAGATGGCCACCATCTCTGGCTTGCAATCAGTTATTTGCTAACGACTTCCTTATGTTTAACCCAACTCTCTCTTGCAATGTAACCCCTTTACTTTGATTCTAATATTCCAAAAGAAAGAAACTGGCAATCTCCAGTTTGTAAGCCCCCCTTCTTCCCCTCGTAACTATGTTTCAATAGTCAGCGATTCCATGAATTCAATGTTCTCATCCCATGGATGACCTTGGTCTTGACAGGCCTTCCTCAATAATCACTGGATGTTCTGCCTCTAATCCAAACCCTTCCTAATTCAGCCTCCGAAATGCCTTCTGAGTTGTATTTTGAAGGGATAAACTCAATCACTTAATTCCCTGGCGTAAAGATCTTCAGTGGCCCCTCATTTCCTAAAGAATGAAGTCCAAATTCCTTGTTTGGATTTTGACGGTTGAGCCCTTTCTCTTCTGCCTCTTCCTATTCCCTCCCCACATACCTTTTGCTCTTTTCTCAAATATGTGCGTGTTCCTGCTTCCCTGGCTTAACACATGCAGCCCCCTCTGCTCGGAATTTTCACCTTCCCTTTCTTTACCTGGCCAATTCCTATTATAGCTTCAGATGTGCTGCCACCTCTGCTGTGAAGCCTTCCTGGGTTATCCACTTTGTCCCTGTGCTCTCTTAGCCTTTAAAGGCTGTCTCTTATACCTTTCATTCACAAATGATAGATTTCTGTCTCCCCAAGAGATCAGAACCCATGTCCTCACTGTTTCTGAGTCCAGACCCTACACAGTGCCTGGTTCAATAGAATTTTTTTTTCAATTATACTTTTGCACATCATTTTTTGCTTTTTTGTTTTTTGAGACGGAGTCTCGCTGTCTCCTAGACTGGAGTGCAGTGGCGTGATCTCTGCTCACTGTAACCTTCACCCCCTGGTTCAAGAGATTTTCCTGCTTCAGCCCCTTGAGTACCTGGGACTACAGATGTGCGGTACAATGTATGGCTAATTTTTGTATTTTTTATTGGAGACGGGGTTTCTCTGTTGGCCAGGTGGGTCTCAAACTCCTGACCTCAAGTGATTCACCCTTCGTGGCTTTCCAAAGTGCTGGGATTACAGGCATGAGCCACCATGCCTGCCCAACTTTTACATGTGTTAAATGTGTTCATATGTCTTTCTAAGGAAACTCAATCTTTTCCTAAGAACAAAACTGAACTATCACAAAATGAACCTCTGGATGTGCCTGATTACCCAAGAGGCAACAATGATACCCCATCCTTTTGATCGCTGTAAAATTTTGCAGTGTATGTTTATGGATATTTGCAGGGATACTGAGTGAGCAAGAAAGGGGCAAAGGTTGATCAAGGAATCTCATTTTTTCTTAATTTTGTTGATCAAGGAATCTCATTTTTTCTTAATTTTAAGATGCACAATCTGGTAATATAAAATGAAAAGTGCAAATCCCTAGAAAAGTCTCCATCTGAGACTCTCCTCTTGTTTGCCTTCTAAAAATATGTTTAGTTTATTTGGTAAAGGAGCCACACTTTGCTCCTGGTAGCACTTTCCTAGATCTATAATTTTGCTCTTTTAAAATGTTTTCCTAGGCCAGATGCAATGACTCACAACTATAATCTCAGGACTTTAGGAAGCCAAGGTGGGAGGATTGCCTGAGCCCAGGAGTTTAAGACCAGCCTGGGCAACATGGCAAAACCCTGTCTCCCCAACCAAAAAAAAAAAAAAAAAATTAGCTGGAAATGGTGTCACACACCTGTAGTTCCAGCTACTCAGGACGCTGAGGTGAGAGGATTGATTGAACCTGGGAGGTCAAAGGTTCAATGAGCCATGATCTATTACTGTATTCCAGCTTAGGCAACAGAGTGAGATACTGTATTAAAAAATAAAAATAAAAAAATTCTTGTTCTTTAAATATGATATCAATATAATAGACAGAGTTTTGTTAAGAACTTGTCAAATTCCAGCCAGGCGCGGTGGCTCAAGCCTGTAATCCCAGCACTTTGGGAGGCCGAAGCGGGTGGATCACGAGGTCAAGAGATCGAGACCATCCTGGTCACATGGGGAAACCCCGTTTCTACTAAAAATACAAAACATTAGCTGGGCATGGTGGCGCGTGCCTGTAATCCCAGCTACTCAGGAGGCTGAGGCAGGAGAATTGCCTGAACCCAGGAGGCGGAGGTTGCGGTGGGCCGAGATCATGCCATTGCACTCCAGCCTGGGTAACAAGAGTGAAACTCCGTCTCAAAAAAAAAAGGAACTTAGACTAATGCTTTGGCACCTAAAGTATAGTATTTTCAATTCATAAATCTATGGTGTGTTGCATTATCATAATTGTAGGTTTTTGTGCTAAGTAGCTTTTTTTTCAAGACAGCGTCTCACTCTATTACATAGGCTGGAGTGCAGTGGTGCGATCATAGCTCACTGTAGCCTTGACCTCGTGGGCTCAAGTGATCCTCCTGCCTCAGCCTCCTGCGTGTCGTCTAGGACTATGGGCTTGTACCACTATACCTGGCTAATTTAAAAAAATCTTTTGTAAAGATAGGGTCTCATGGTATTGCCCAGGCTGTTCTTGAACTCCTGGCCTCAATTGATCCTCCCACCTCAGCCTCCCAAACTGTTGGGATTACAGGTGTGAGCCAACATGCCTGTCTTATTTTTTTTCCCATCGTGTGTGTGTGTTTGTGTGTGTGTGTGTGTGTGTGTGTGAGAGAGAGAGAGAGAGAGAGAGAGAGACAGAGCCTCACTCCGTCACCCAGACTGGAGTGCAATGGCACGATCTCAGCTCACTGCGATCTCTGCCTCCCGGGTTCAAACAATTCTCTTGCCTCAGCCTCCCAAGTAGCTGAGATTATAGATCCCCACCACCACACCCAGTTAATTTTTTTTTTTGTATTTTTAGTAGAGATGGGTTTTTGCCATGTTGGGTCTTGAACTCCTGACCTCAAGTGATTTGCCTGCTTTGGCCTCCCAAAGTGCTGGGATTACAGGCGTGAGCCACCGTGCCTGGCCCATCTCGTGCTTTTATACTTTGTTTTTCCTCCCTCAGTCATATTAATGTACATCTTACTGCCTTGGATGTCCTCTTTTTAATGAAATATTTATACTTTATAAAGATCACAGTGATGATTCTGCTAATCTTACATTTTTAAAAGTGTGAACATTTTAAGAATAATACCAAATTCCTGAAGCATTATGTACTTTCTGTTTTTAACATCAGTAAAACATTCAATATCATCAATACTCGATACCACTAGTATTTGATTCCTATATTACCAGAACAGCTCTAAATGAGTCTGATTATAGCATGAAGTTCAATAAAATCCTAAAATGGTCATAATGTCTTACGGCATCAAAGTGGATATTAGATAAGTTTGCAATCATTGTATAAATCTCATTTCCTTTCATTTACTTTATCCAACCACACTTAGTGGTAAGTCCACAAGAGCTCAAAAACTAATGCTACACTGTGCCTTTGTTTCAGCTTTTTACCCTCACTGGTTTTGAAAACAAAAATCTGGCCGGGCATGGCTCACGTCTGTAATCCCAGCACTTCGGGAGGCTGAGGTGGACGGATCACTTGAGGTCAGGAGTTCGAGACCAGCCTGCCCAAAATGGTGAAACCCTGTCTCCACTAAAAATACAAAAATTAGCTGGACATGGTAGCGTGTGCCTGTAGTTCCAGCTACTTGGGAGGCTGAGGCTGGAGAATCGCTTGAACCCATGAGGCAGAGGTTGCAGTGAGGCAAAATTACGCCATTGCACTCTAGCCTGGTAGACCACAAGACTCTGTCTCAAAAAGAGAAAAGGAAAGAAAAATCCCCAAAGCTGTGAACCATGACCTGGGTGCTGTTAGCAGCGTCCAGATGAGCCTGTACAGAAGCACAGGAAAAGCACGAACGTGCTGCTTTGTGGAGACAACACTGTCGTTGGCTGTCACAGGGCTAGAATTTTGTATAGGAATCACAGCCCATTGGCTTAAAATCTGATCACACATGAGCTTTCGAAAGGGCCAGCTTGGCATAATATCAGAGTGAACCCTCTGAAATCCTGATGCATATGATGATAAAGTAACAGTTTGGTGAATATAATACACCATTGGACATAACTGTTCTGCTACACAGACTTGCCTTTTAAATTGATTAGCCTAGTGAGATAGGGTATATAATTTTTTTTTTTTGTCCCTTACAGCTCCTAGGATAGTAGTGTCTTCCTTGTGATAGATGCTTAATACATATTTATTTTTTAAAAATAGAGATGTAGGGGTAACTTGGTGTAAAAGTCTGACTTAAGGACTGCTCTGGGCTAAGTACCATGTTGTCCTGTTCTCTTCTCACTCCAAGCTACATGCTGAAGTCCTTGATCTGTAGCCCAAGCAACAGAGAATGGCCCACTCTTAAGTGTAAAACCAGAATTCTTTCCAACATGCAGTAATAGTATACAATCTTCAAAAGCACTTCCAAGCAGCCAGGAAAGTCAGGACCTGACACACAGCAAGATACACAGCAGCAGGTGCTCTCAGCTCGGGTCTGAAATGAATTATTGGTTGAACAAGTGATAGAAACCAACAAACCTCCCAAACTGAGGAGAAACGAAACACATGGAGACATTGGCCAATCAGGCCCTAGGCGTGGTTCCCGTGAACCACTGCTGCACCCAGGACCCTGGGGTTATCACAGCGGATCCTGTGCTCTTCCTATACCGCGCCTGCAAATGAAAGATGTTTCCTAGTTCAGGGCCAAAGACATGACAATCAAAGCCCAAAGCAGAGCAACCCTGCAGTTTCCCGTGCTTTGCAGCAAACCCTTATGTCCAGAATCATTCTCCTTTCTCTGTCAATATGACTACTGCAACTATTACAAGTACTATCATCATTTACTGAGTGCATGCAATACGCCATACATTGTCCTAAGACCTTATCGTGTATTATACAATTTAATCCTTCCTATTATTGTCATTCCAATTTTTAATGAGGAAAGAGAGGCCCAGAGAAGTCAGTTAATTTGCCAACAGTCACATGGCTACTCTGCAGGAGGGCCAGGATTCAAACCCAAGTAGTCAGAATCTAGAACTAAATTCTTAACAACTACACTGTACAAAATATTTTCTTCACAAGGCAGAGCAAATGAGATTACACCAGTATTCCATAAGAGTAAGGCAATGTGTTACTTTTGTCTTATATATGTAAGACAATATATAATACTACTCTGTGTGCATGTACATATATTAATTCTTAATTACATATAACGGCCGGGTGCTGTGGCTCACGCCTGTAATCCCAGCATTTTGGGAGGCTGAGGCAGGTGGATCACAAGGTCAGGAGATGGAGATCATCCTGGCCAACATGGTGAAACCCGGCTCTACTAAAATACAAAAAA